CCTGGCTATAGCCCTGCCATGAGTGCAGCTGGCGGACCTGTACCTCGCAGTGAACCCAGCACTACCGATCCAGCAACCCCTATCAAGAATTGTCCACCGACCTGTCCCCTTGACTCCTTACTACTCGACTTCCTCAGCGAACGTCGTCAACGTGCTGCGGATGGGCTGCCTGCTCAGGATGTTGTTGGCCCACGTTATCCCTCCGTCTCATCACTTCTCAATCCTGCCAACAGTGCATACAGTCACCCTCTCTCCAAGGTGTTCACCGATATCCTCGCTACTTTCCCCGACATTTCGACTCTCCCTGAGCGTGTAGCCGTGCTTTACATCATGTTTCTTGTCATGCGCTGGCAAATAGAACCTACCCAGGAGAACTACGACCGGCTCCCCAAATGGATGGCGCCATGTCCTTCCCAGCTCACCATCCCACATGCTGCCTGGCTTGACCACATTCCCTTCCCGAAGATGCGAGATTACCTTGTTCGCGATCACAACCCGCTTCTTCACCCCTTTGATAATTTCTTTGTACCATTTACCACAACTCTCTCGTTGTCTTGGCCATACGAGGAGACCGACACGTTACTTCAGGATCCAGACAGTGATGAGCTCATGATCAATCCTGTCTTTGAGCGCCATCTACGGAACCTGGATAATTGGAAGTTGGGTGATGCTTTTGCCAAGGCCTTTCCTAAGCTAGTTGGAACATTCAACCTCAGCCAATCTACTTCACCACGACCAACTTCGTCCAGCAGCCGATGACACAGGTGCTAGAAAAGTAACGTATCGAAGTAACTATTCTGTACAATAATGTTTTTTTCACGGTTGGCGTCTTGTGTGTTTGTTCCTCCAAGTCTTGGAGGTTTGGCTTTGGGTTGTCTTTGTCCAAGGGAAGGGGGATGTTGTATTGTGATGGGATTTTATGGACCATGGTTGCTGCCACCCAGAGTACACGGCATCTGTCACACTTACTGGAGTTGTTTGTTTTCGGTGTCACCAAAATACGTATGCTTGCACGCTTGCACGCGATTGAAGGATATAATCACTAGGTTTAGAGATATTGCAAGGTGACTTGGATGGTAGTCAACAGAAGCTCGGGTTGCCCTAGAGGGATTTCATCCTAAAGTCTTCAAAATCTGGCCTAAATCTAGTCTAAATTCATACAATCTTATCCTAATAACCCCGAAACCTATTCTGATATTATTCCACCACCCACTCCCTTCCTTGTTAGTCTTCGCTTTTATACACACGCATTGCATCTGCGATGCCCACGCCTCGCCACATTTAGCTCCAGAAGCGATGGAGGCTTGGTGGTGTTGCGGAGACAAACATGTCGGGAATATACAGGCAATGAACAGGCTCACAAGTAACACCGTCGTTCCGTCAAGTCAAGTAATCCTCAATGCAGTGCTGAGCTTCCTTCCGGAATTTAGCAGGCCGCCATTCGATACCGCGGCTCCCAACAGGCTCACAGAAGTCATCCAAGCCGTTACAAACGTCCCGAGTTTGTAGACAGTCGATTAGAGCTCGGTGATTGTGCCCACACAAGTCGCTTCGGGGGAACATCACGGGGTATACGATCTCAAGACGTAAGGGGAAAGACCCCTTGGGCATGTTTTGCCGGAAGAGAGGAATCAGTGGGAAGCAATTTCGGTCATGGGGCAAGATATCATGGTATCCCCCCTTGGCCAAGAAGTCTCTGAGAATCTGGAGGTCGGCGCATGACACATGCCAGGCGAGAAATATTGTCTTTGGCGTGATCCCGATTTGTCGCAACTTCTTTGCGACTTGGTGCACGTCCAGCTGTGTCAACTCGCGGCTTCGACCATACACCTTTTTCTTCCAGAGCTGGCTAATTATTCCGACCTTCTCTCCTTGTGTACGCCGGGACGGAGCAGCCGACTTCGTTTCTTCGGTATGAGCTATCAGTGTATTCAATAGTGTTTTCCCAGAAACTCGGTCAATGATGGCTGTTTCGTACAGCTCGTGTGTGATCGGGTCGAATTCGTTGTCTATAATGACAACCTTTTGGCCCAGTCCCGCCCGAACTGGCTGCCGAACTCGCTGTTCGTAATCCTTGGTGCATGTCCAGGTCTTTGATATCGCTGTGGAAAAAGTCTTGGTCAGGGCGGTGAGACCACCCTTCGGGTCGATCTTGGGAGAGTCGAAACGTTTGATCAACTGTCTAACCCTCATTTCTGCGTGGCAGCTCGCACACCGACTGTCAAGCGACATAGTCGGCATCCTTCTGCCGCGACTGCGTCTGATCAATGCCGTGTCGAAATCAATTATTGCGCCTGCGGGACAGCCTTCAACAATGAAATGTGTCGTCTTGAGGCCCGGTCCGGCACATTTGTATCCCCGAGCATTGAAGCAAACGAAGTGATCTTTGTGTGACTCTATTTGGACGATTAGTTCTTTCATTTTCATCGAGGCGACAACAGGCACACATACCCCACCAGTCTGTATTATGCTCAAGGATATTGACGTCCTGGTCATCTCTGACCAAGATTTGTTCTTCCTCCGTTTCGTCTTCCTCATCTTCATCCTCATCTTCATCCTCATCTTCATCATCATCATCATCTT